CCTGCTGGAAGCAGATGTTTCATTTATCCTTCACCGTGGGCTCATCCTTTCCACTTGTGCATGTGGTGGATTTGGGGAGTGCCAGCTCAGTCTACAGCAGTGTCTGAAGACCCCACTGCTTCTCTCCACGGCCCTCCTGGAATGTCCCTCATGCAGCAGGCAAAGTGGTGGCCAAAATCTCCTCAGGGACTCATGTTCACCTTCTTTAGCTTCACTCTGTTGACTTGGGTGGTTTGGCACACAGTCGGGCAGGGAGGAAGCCCAGTCGCTTTTTTGTGTTCCCTTTTCCAGGAAGAGAGACGGCTGTGGACAGGAGCAGTTCTGTCTGCCTTGTGGGAAGCAGAGAGAAGGACTCACCTTCCCCTGTTCACCAATGTTACTATGAATTGAAGATTTCTTACTAAAATTCCTCACATCAGCTTGTTGCTTTCTCACCAGCCCATGAAAGCACCTTTTTGAAAAATCTTGTCTGATCAAGCCAAAGAAATGAGAGTGTAGGATCCACACAGCTGATGGGAATTATAGCTGAGACAATTTTTTCTTTTAAGCCACAGTACTCCTGCTCTATTTAAGAAATAAGATTTATTATTTTACTGTTAGTCTAGGTGGCTTGATTATCCAGAAGTTATGGTTTTAGAGAGTTCAACAAGCAAGAAACATATGATATGTATTTAATCATAGCCTATATTCAGAAATATGTCAGTCATCCTTTTTCTTGATAGGCTGACATCTTGCCCTTATCTTTAGTGTATTAGCTACCCCTAAAACCATTGGTTAGCTAACAGCCAAGCATGAAGTGTCCAGCACACTTTTCAACTGATCTCTACATACTAAATTTAGAGCAGGTTGGAAGCAGGCAGATAAAGCATTGAAACAGAAGCACAAGCAAAATTTCATTGACGTGAAAGATACTTAGCTACATTGTGAGTTCCTGCTACTATTAGTTATACAGTGTTATGTGGTTTAAGAAAAATCAGGAATATTTTTACAAAGATTTAAAAAATGGATTAATTCTGAAGAGGCAAAATATTGCTGAATGGTCACTGCCTTCTGGTGTACTTTTGGTGACGGTCTTGACAGTCTCAGAAAGCTCCAGTTCCATGGGCAGGGTGTCAATACAAGTATCGTTATTTGTTACAAAAGACTATTCCTACCTTAAGATAAACCAAATTTTCTCTCTTGAACTATTGTGAATTTAGAAAACATATATTAATAACTTCCACTCTTCTGATACACTTTACTGTAAATGTATTACGTTCGAATATTTTTTGAACTGGAGACACAGGCATCTCCTTATAAAGCAAATTGTTCCATTTCTGGCCTTGCAGGTGGGTCAGCAAAGAGGAGACAGTGCTCGTGATTTCAGCCTGAAAGAGGTAGTAAGGTGACTTTACTCCAGCCTGGAGTTCTGGACACAGACATGTTAAAAATGCGCTTAGAAGAGGTCTTATCTTTCACAAAGGAATTTCTAGTGGCTATGTTATTCCCTGACATATTCCAGTGTACAGATAAGCTACTGAGCAATAATTTTTGTGATGCTACACGTGTGGTATTTTAGTCTTTAAGCTTTAACCAACTGTATAAACCTAGGGAAAATAGAGGGAGAGCCCTTCCACACTCAAAAAATCAAAACTCCCTAGTTTGTGTGATTGTCATAGAGGAGACAAGCTAATGCACACTATCATTCACATAAGCAGCATCTCTGACACGCTTTCTCTTGACTTCCCCAGCACTCAGGCTTATTTTAAGAAATGCAGCAGCTCGACAGTTTTGCCCCTCTCCAGACTGGGTTCACCAGTCCCCTGGTACCTACCTGTGATGACAGCCTCTGCTGTAGCCATGTGCATCAGTGTGTTGTCGCTTACGGGCCACTTGTCAGAGGAGAGCACCAGGTTCTCAAGCCCTCCAATTTCCTTCAGCTCCTGCTGGATTTTTGCGCCTAAGGCATTGTTTTCTCGGGAGAAATTGCGATAACCGAGAGCATCCCCTACCCCAGCCAGCACGAGTGCAGCCTTGAATTTATCCATTCCCCAAAACACTTCCTGCTTTCCTTTTGTCCCAGACAGCCACCAAATCTTGATCTTCCTTGTTCCTTTGCCTTGGGCTCAGCTTCCCCGACACTTTATATCAGCCATTGTGTCACACTGAGAGTGCTCTCTATAAGGCAAGGACTTCCTTTTCTGGCTCTGCAGATGCCATCTCTTGTCCAGGACTCGGCAGAGAGGAAATATTTCATAACCCAGGGATTTTGCAGGGGCTTTGTCCAATGAAACCACAAGAGTGGACCTGCAAAGCGACGTGCAAAAGCCTCGTTTCTGCAAGCTGGCGTAAAGCAAGCCAGGAAATTCTTAGCCCTACCCAGCGTAAGTAACTCTACACCTAGAAAAAACAGATGCCTCCACAGGGGTGTTTATTTATTTAATAACTTGTAAATTATTACATTTTCCTGCCCTTTTCTGATATGCTGGAGTCAACCTCCCTTTCAGGGAGCAGTCAGAAGGAAAGCCTGTAATGAAAAGAGTTTCCAATCTCTGTAAACACTTGAATGACAGGTTAGGCAGTAAGAAATTTAGCCAAATGCAGGCAACCACTCCCATTTCTGGTTATGCCCTATGGTGATACTTTGTCAACAGCATTCTTACTCTGTTCCACCTGTTACAAGAACATTTAGCTATTTCACTGCATCTCTGGATAAACACTGAGCAAAATACCAACTTCAAACTCACGCCTCTTACTCCCTGGCAAAGAGTGACATTTTCCTAAGGCTGAACTCGGGTACAGCCCGCATTTGGACTCTGGAAGGAAACTATTTTGAAAGATGCAGTTAAATGGCATCTTGTGAATCTAAAAAAGTGCACGTATGAGGAAATCTCACTTAATAATAACTGAGCTTTATTAATATAATCCTTTATAACTGGGTACTTGTGCAATTACGTGCTTCATCTGTTACTGCAGATTTTTCCATGCTTCTTCCAGGCATTGCAAGAGGGGGCTCTGTAGTCTTGCAGCTTTTAAAACATATTTTGCCCACAAACACTACTCTGTGTAGGCTCAACACCTTCCTTCAAGGGGTCTGCTGAGGCTGACCCAGATCATGGTTTCAAGTCACCATCCATGCTGTCCTGAAAACTCACAAATTACTGCTACTTTACAGGTAGGGATACAAATGTAAATATAAACTTAGGCAGATAAACAGAAAGCTTTGATCATCTTGACTTTAATTTTGATAAATTATACCTGTGAAAAGGTCTTTGTTTTTCTTTGGTATTTTTACAGAAAGCAACAGTGATTGCAATTCGGATGGAAAAGGCAAGTGGTGTAAAGGATGCATCCTCCTATCCTCGAGAGTGACAAGCAGTTAATCATGGACTGAGTTATTAGCATGTGTAGAAATATCACTGTACTTCACAAGATACCTTAATGCAGTTTCAGAACACAGATAAGCATTGCCATTCTTACTCTACATTATAAGAAATAAAGTGCCAAAGTGGTGAAAGTAGCTCTGTGGGTACACTCTTGTTTTAAAGATTGGGTATGAGTAACAGAAGAGTTGAGTATTAAGAAGAGAACACCAAGAGCGTGTCTTCATTGCCAGGAACAAACAGCTCTGAACTGAAAAAGCACCAAAAAAGGGGCAATTATGGGTTAAGATGCCAGGGGCACTATGTAGGGACCAGAGGAGATGCAGACCCATGGCCAGCCTGCTACAGAGATGGCTTCAGGAACAGGCATCACCTCCCACAATCGGGGCATTTAAGCAACATCAGGGTAATCTTAGAGTCACCCTGCGCTGTTGGAGTTACCTCAGGTTCTCATGTCCAAAAGTGACCACTCAAAATGGAAAACTAAGGTCAATGCAGCTTACAAAAACCATGCGAGGCAGAAACACTGGTGCTGATGTCTCTGTTACAGGTTCATGCACCCTTCTGTGGCACCCTCCCCTTCTCTCTCCCTGCAGAGCATTAGGATTTGGAAGCTTGTGGGGAATTTGAACTTGCAAAGCAAGGACAAAAGTCACCTGCTGAGGCAGTGTGGAGACCCAGTAAGGGCCTCATCAGATGGAAGGTTCCTTCCTGAAAATGGACAAAGCTATTCTTAGTTTTTCATTTATCTCTTCCTTCTGAACATGGCTGGCAGTTGCACTGCCCTTTTACCTCCCATGGACTTTACCCTGCACACTTGGCTGCTTGTAACACAGCCCAAATTAGGAATAAAATCCTTGGCTTTAGAAATAAGGTTATAATGAAAACCCAGGGAAAATTTCAGAGAAATGTTATTTTTCGACTCTGCAAAACAGAACATGCAATGAAGAATTTAGCTTTTATTTTATTTGTTAATTGTACACAATCTCCTTTTCATGTGTTACTTTCAGCCACTATGAGTTTTCTGGGCAGAGGTAGGTTAGGCGCACTGATAGCTACCTCTACTCCCCCAAAAAGACACAATTTTTTGTGAAATATAGTTTGTTATTTAATTAATTTATATTTAATTAAGACTTGCATGTCTTAAACACAGTCAAGATACAGTAATTCCGTTAAGATGGACAAGTATTTATTTAACATACATATTCACAATAGGAAGAAAACCCAAGCACAGCTGGCAAAATATATTTGGTAAATCAGATAAAAATGTAGCTTTGGTGTCCTCTCATTGGTGTACATAGGACTGTTTTCAGATTCAGAGAATCAAAAAAAATAGGAATGGGAAGGCAGGACAGAGAAAAGACTTCTTCACATTGGTGGCAACATGTTGCTGTTTCAGCTCAACTGCATTTGAAACCCTATGTGAGAACATGAAGGCATGCCTTCAGCAAACGTGGCTCCTCCTGCCTCCTCCACCTGAGGGGACGTGAATCAACCATCTCCACAGCCCAGAAGAGAAAGGGGGCTCTTGGGCTATCCAGGCACTGCTGTCTTTTATGAATAAATGAACCAGCAACTGGAGCATGGGCTGAGATTGCTTTGTCACCACCAGCCCTTCAGCAGTTTAAGTTTAAAGAAGAAGGAGTGAGTGGGTGATGCTCCTGCCATGCTAAGATACTCAGCAGAGAAATAATCTTGATTGGTTCACTCAACCAAGAGTTGCAGAGGGTTTTACTGAATTCTTTAATAGTGGGGATGAATCATTTTCATACCACTTTACACCACTGCCTTAAAGGAAAAATATTCCTTTAACACCACAGCACGGACTTCTTTCTTCTTTACCCTCTGGACAGAAAGCCTATGTCATGACATGAAGCCTACATGGTTTGCCCAACAGAAAATACAGTATTTCACTGCTTGTAAAAGAGGCACGAAATACCCACATGGCAATTTGTCCAGTGTATGCACCAACAAGAGGAAGTATCCCAGTAATTATACTCAATCCAAATTTGAATGTCCTTAAGCTTTCCCAGGCCTTTTTCATTAAGAGGTGAACATTGTACCCACTTGTCTGAAATACAGAATTTTCTGTGTGTGGTTGTAGAAGTAGCTGCAGTTGCAGACCTCTCTGTCAACAGTTTATAATGAAAAAGCCCATTTTAGAGGCATCATCCTCACCTAATTCTACCCAGCATACTGTATATAATGCGAAAGTGAGAAAATATGTTTTGTAGAATATTTTTTTTAAAAAAAGTTCTCATGGCTCTAAAACATGACACTTTTTCCCTTGCAGAAAGGCTGTGCCTTTTGGTGTGCCAGACACTGGTTGTCATCAGCTGAGGGAAGCTACTGGCGCTGCTGACACTTGCAAAGAAAAGAGCTTGCCATGGTTCAACTATCAGCATCAGCAGAAGGAAGACAGGCTCATGTGATACCAAAGCAGCCAGAGGTTGGTGAAACCACTGGAGAGGGATGCCAGTTGAGAGAGTACAGAGGACAACTTACTTGATTTAAACTTTCAGAAAAGAATTAGGGACAGTTGAATACATAACCTCTGAAGGTCTTTGCACAGCCTTCTGAGCATGCTGCTTCTCCTTGCTCAGAGCATCAGACTGAGCAAGACCTTCCTTGCAACGACACCTCTCATTGCCAGTACAAACTAAGGACACAAATTGCAGAGAGTTTGGTTGGTAGCGAGCCCATGTAGTGGATGCAGCACAGTTATATACAGCAATATTATAACTGCTCAAAAATTCAGAAGTTACATTCTTGCCCTCTTCTGACTGATGAAATAGTAACACAAGAATTTAAATTAACCAGAAAACAACAAAACCCCACCAGCCTTTGCAAGGCTTCCAAAGCAGAAAGCTGACAAAAACCATCCAGACATCTCACATAACTGACTTCAATCCTTTATGTTGACAGTCCATTTATTCCTTCTTCCATTGCCACAACAGTTACACACATACAGCTTACTCAGCAGCAAATCTCTCAGGTGCACTGAATGAGCAGATGCCTGCAGGTTCGCTCTCCTCGGCATGACATACACTATAAATTACATTTAAATTTAGAATTGGCAATTACAAATCCTATGGCTCAGTTTCAAACACTCTAGGATGTGAAACCAAATAACTTGGCGCCAAGTTTAAAAATCCTTATCTAGGAACCAACAATTTGAAGACATCTGTACCATTTATGATTATAATTTGATCAGCCTAGATGTTACCACTGTACCAGTTTACCTAAAAGAGAAAGTCAGAGTGCCCTGTAAAGTGGAACAAAGGGCAGTAGCAAATTATTAAAATACATAATGAACTCAACATTTGAAAACAGTTTATCTGCATTTATTTGTATGATTTTTCAAGTGCGAAGGTGTTACTCCATGCCACTATTCATGGGAATGTAAAATGCATATGTGGCTTCAAATAGGTTGAAGACTGGGAAGAACGAAAGAAAAAGCATATTACACCTAGAAAGCTGCCTGATAAGGAACAACTCCTCTCTTGAAAGTATTTTGTCCACTTTTCCTCTATTGGAAGGAATCTTCTGTGAAGGATCCTCCCAGGAATCAGGTTTAAGAGTAAGTGAATAAAATACTGTGCTAAGCACCTTCCTTCATCCTCAGATTAACAAGGCAAAAAACCTCAACCCACATACATTTTTTATGCTCTATTTATTTGGAAAGGTAAAAGGCTTAATCAGATTGATTTGAGGGAGTCCTCAGCATGAACCA